GTAGTGTGGTGAAGGCCTGGGGTGGGGTGGTGGCTGAATGGAGGGGGTAAAGGTGGGGGGAGAGAATGGGGGACACCTGTAATATGTTTTTTTAAAGTTAATTTTAAAAAGCACTACCTACATGTACTAATTTGATAATAAAGCAGGATACGGGTGGAGGAAGTTCAGAGGGTCAGAAGATCAGTGACTAAACAATTAATAGGAAATATCTGGGAAGGCAATACAATAAGTGCTTTGGCTTTTCTCTTACCTAATTCCACCTCCTTCCAGCTGTGATTTAAGATAAACAAAATTCTGAGGCAACCAATGGTAACTGCAGTTCACAGAGGGGCTTCTGTTTGAAATATAAGATAGAATAGGCACCGTGGGGTACAGAGTGGTGAGTCACTCTTCTCCTGGGCTTCTCTTCCAGGCACTCAGTGAGGTCTCACCGGCGCTGTGAACTGAAGCGCTGAGCGAACCCCCGATGGTGTCCCACTAATGTTCTCCTTGGACTCGGCTGGAAATCAACTCGCAGAGAGAAGGAAAGAGTTATCGTAGTGGCGCCAAGACACTCGAGCAAATGCTTGTTCAACATTACCAATTTAACCTAAAGATTTGATTTATTAAGTTTCTATCAAGCCCTTCTTATGATTAGAGAAAGTTCATTTCCAGAAAAGTTCAATTATGAAGCCATCAATAAGACCTGCTCATTTCAAATAAGTCAGTTTGCTTCGAGGTAAATGATACTACTTACTAATATGTACAAGTTCCCTTTGGACATAAAGAAAACCCTAGGCACAAATAAGGAGACAATGATGAAGCATTCTTCATTTTTAAATAGCTGATCTAAAAGGAAAGTAATAAGATGTCTTCATTCCGCAGAGAAACACCTCTGACGCACAGGGAAGTACCTACACCCCACAGACCCCATTGTTAGTGAGGGGCACTCATGTCTTCTTGGAATAACTTTCCTTTTAACTAAACCGCATTTGATGGCTCCATTAAGGCATATCCAACCCTGTGGTGTGTGTGTGTGTGTGTGTGTGTGTGTGTGTGTGTGTGTGTTAATCTATAGGGGTTTAAATATGGCAAAACCATCAAACTGCCAGTCAATTAACTATTTTTCATGTGTTGCTACTTTCGATGTGTCTCTAGATATTTCAACTGTAACTGCATTTCCAACCACCTAAAAAATTCAGTGGCTTTTCATTTTTCACAAACTTCCTTTGTCATCAATTGAGATCAGGTCAAAATAATTAATCCAACTCTAACAGTAGTTTTCATATCTTACTAACTTTTAATAATTCCTTTAGGATTCTTCTCCAGGTGCGTGATGATGATTAGCAGAAATCAGAGGGCTACATTAGATGACATCAGCTAATCCTCCAAAGCAGCTGCTCCTCTCTGATTTGGAAAGAAATCAACACCTTGGGCCTCCAGGCAGAGAGAATGCATAACAGGCTGTGACCGCAGTAATTAAAACCTGTTCGCACGGCTCTGGTCTCCACAACCTCCTCTCACTGCTGTTAACGTTTAAAAAAATTCACAAGGGTCTTCTGCTGACATGAGCTCTATCCACCCTGTGCTTTTGCGAAAGGGGCAGGATAGGGAGAAACGACAGTGAAGAGCCGCGTGCCCACGCCCAATGTGCTCAGAGCAGAGAGGGTGATGGGAGCATTTCTGTGGCTGCACTGGCTTCAATCATCTTGAATTAGTTTCCATTGTGTTTTGTTGTTGTTTCACAAGCATTTATCTACCCTTGAATCATGAAGCCAAACACCGAAAAAGATAGAAATATGTACATTACTCAGTCCCTACCCTTACAAAGTTTAAATATATTGACAATCATAAACATTATAGCGACGACTTACTAAATATCTATGGCACCACAGGCAGTTTCTATTTGATAACCTAGCCCTTCAGTCTACCCAAACACTGCAAGGCAGGGATGGTTCTCTTTATTCTACAAGGTACAGATCCACCTGTCCCCATGGAGACTGTTACCTTCAGGGAAAGTGGACTCTCAGATCCAGACCCCTGGCATCCACTCTACCTCTAATTAGGGAGTTGGCTTGGGGTGTTGTTTGTTTGTTTTCCCTATTCTTTGCAACAAAAAGGACTCTAACTGATAAACTGGATGATATTCATCCTCCAAGAGTATTATTTTCTTAAAGAGTTGTGGCTTCTGCTTTCCTTCGTTTTATATTTTTTAGACATTAAGGAAAGACATAGATGATTTCATAATATTAAAGTCTGAAGTTTTATTAAATAAGGATTTGTTTGATGAATGAATTAGCTGAACAAATGTATGAATAATGAATAAATGATTGAATATGAGATAACTTCTCTCTTCCTATTTTGCCCCTCTCAGGCTGAGACACATGATTGACAATGAGAAGAAAATAAAAGAAAAAATAATAATTGATTATAACTCAGATCTTTGAGTATATGTAATTTTTCTTAGCCCATTGATGTTAGCCTGCTATTTTTTAAGTCCTCACCCAAGGATATGATTTTTGAGAGGAAAGGGGGAGGGAGGTAGGGGGAGAGAGAGAGAGAGAGAGAGAGAGAGAGAGAGAGAGAGAGAGAGAGAGAGATGGATGTGAGAGAGAAACATAGATCCGTTGTCTCTCTAACATGCCCTGGCCAGGGATTGAACCAGAAACCTGACCAAGAATCAAACCCCAAACCTTTTGGTGCCCAGGACAGTGCCCAACCAGCTGAGCTACCCTGACTAGGACAGCCTGCTACTTTACATTCTATAGTAAATCATACTAACCTACCCTCTTCCCCTGCTTGACATTATTTGAAAATCATACATATCTGAGTGTAGGTGCCTAGCACCCAGGAAGTCAGAAACGGAAGAGTCCCACATCAGACACTGCCCCTGCGTATGCTGACCTCCTCTCACAGTCCGATCCATCAGTAAGCAACATCACTAGAGAATGAGGGATTGGACAGTAGACTGTGTGTTTTGTTTTGTTTTGTTTTACTCATAGGGGTAAAATGTGCAAAAAATCTTGTTCAACTGCCAATGGTAGTTGTTGAAGACATCAGTGCCATGACTTAGGGACCTTTCTCTCCAAGGAGGTTAAAGAAAGTGTAGAGATGACATCTACCCTGAGGGGAAAGGGCGTGGTGGGTAGGAGAAGGATCAGTATTGTAAGGACATTAGTCACACAGATCTGTTGAAGATCCCTCGCCTCCTGACTGGCAACTACCCCATTGAGAGGAAATCAGCTCTCACATTTAAAGTGGGAAATGACTATAGAGAGGGAGAAAATGGTTATTTATTTCCAGACCCTGCCAACTTCCATATTGTGCTCTTGCTGTATCATAGTCACAGACCTATACAATGACAGGAAAAGTAATTTCTAATCTTCCTGCTCAAGGAATGATGTTATTGATCTGCACTTTATCTTTTGTTTTTCCTGTGACTCAGCAGGTCAGAACAGCCTCAGTTCCAAGATGTCCATGGGATTAAAACGTGTTACAAGTTAATAGGAGGTGAAGAACTTTATTTCAGCACCAAGGAGAGTGCCCTGCTGTTTTCAAATGGTTTTAGGCATTCAAAACTGCATATTATTCATGAGGCTAGAAAGAAATTTTGAAATGGGGTTTGATAAACTGTGGCTACGAACTCATTTCACTCATGAGAAAAATTCTAATAATTTCTGTAAAATAAAAACTTGCCAGGGTTTTGTACATGTTCATGATTTCTATGCTATACTATTCTCTTAGCTTCCAGTGAATCTTTGTCTATTGTCAGGTGTCAAAATCACAGTTTCTGAATGGATCTAGACTAGAGGAGGCTCAGTAAAGTCACAGAAGTGTTACTAACAGATTCAAAGCTCCATGACAACAAGTCTTACTGTCATTCTCACAGCTGTATCCTTCCTTAGGGCTTGGTAAGTGCTCAGTGAATATTTATGTGAGTCCAGTGGGAAGAAATGAATTAATGAATGATATTCGGTAAGTGACTGGGGGTGAATGAATAAATGCCCATTTGTTATGAAAAGTCATTTTTTCTGAGTGGTCTCAGAGATCCCTGCATACCATGCTGCTCAACAAGAAACTCGAACACATCTGTCCTTGGCCGATAGCGATGGAGTCTGGCTCTCAGACCCTGCCTTTTCTGTGTCCTCGGCCTTCAGTGGGGAGGGTTCTCCTTAGAGACCTGGACATGTTGCTCAGGTCTTTCCGGGCCAGCATGGCAAGCCCCCCACCTCTGGCTCCTCCAATGCTCAGGGCCCCCCGTCAACCTGGCTCTGCCCTGTCACCAGATGGACAGGACACAGGCCCAGGAGGCGAACCCTCCTCCCCTTCCACAAGGCTGCCAGGTGGACCATGGCTACTTGTCCCTATTCCCACACAGCCCCTTCCTTCTGTGCCAAGAGCAGAAAGCATCAGGCCTTGCTTTGCCAAGGGACCCTCAAGAGGCCAGAGGGTCTGAGCCCAGCTGTGCCAGAGACAAATGGCAAGACTGCAGTTCTGCTCTGAGTGGCCACCAGAGAGGACATGGGGTCACCCTGGGAGACTAGAATCTACCAAAGACAAGGCCAGAGGCCAAGAGAAGAGACGAACGAGTGAAAGCAGCGTTTAGACAGATGTTTGCAGCAGGCAGAAGGTTGGGAAGACTTCTCCGCCTCGGAGTCCCTTTCCCTGGTTTAGGACTAATTTGTGCAAAGAAACATGTGTGAATGGGGTCACGCGTCCTGGTTCCCAGGTGGGCACAGCCCAGTTCTCAGCTCCAAGGAGCCCTCTGGGCTCAGGCGCCACTCTACTTGGACTGTACTACCAGGGCCCCGGAACGGGGGGAGCCGCCGGGGAAGGACTGATTTCCATTTCAAACTGCATTCTGCTACTTTGTACTCCAGCACCACTGGCCAATCAATATTTAATGCTCCGGAGGTTCTGACTCTGCGCGAGTCATGTCAGGGGACCTGGGGAGCCAATCTGCGTGAGCTTCTGCGTGATAATTATCCATGGGCCTCCCGCCTCTTGCTCTTTCTCTCGCTCGGTCCCACGCTGCAGACTCAGTGCCTTATTCAGTCTTCTCTCGCGCTCTCTGCTGCTGTCGCGGACCCCTCGCCTTCGCCGCCCCTCCGCGTCTGCACCTCCCTGCAATGGCTAAGACAGCGATGGGTAAGGTAGCGCGCCGCCGCCCCGAGCCTGACCTGGAGCCCACCCTCGCCTTCTGCCTGGAG